GTGATGAAGTCAGATATCAACCTTCTCTTCCCTTAGTTAAGCAGTGTCATTTGATCATTTTATTTCCCTTGAAAACATAGATTTTAATTTACAGAGAAAGTCAGATGATATATGAATGCTCATTTTCCCTCATTACATGATTTCTTAGACCCTGAAAAAACCATGATACCTAGGGTCTACATTGTTTTATGTTCTTAATATGTAGAAGACATAGTCATTGCGGAAGCAACAAAACAGCTTGTTCATTAGCAAACACAGCATGTAGGTGGAAACAAAGGGACAGAAACAAGACCCTAATTATACCCATGAATTCCTCTTCTTCCTGAGAAAAAATAAGACCATGCTTTCTTCTCAGTTCCAGTGTCCTTTAGGGCTTTTACAAAGAATGTATTTTCCCATATGGCTGTGAATCAGTTGGTGAGCTTGATCATTGTTGCCTAATAAACACAACATGAATTCCCATTAGAAGTCAACTAATGGGCACTTCAAGTGCAATTTTCTATGTGTGTTAAATGGGGAAGCTGAAAACTTTGCTGCTCTGAAGCTCCTTTGATGGGAAGGGGAATATCACAATGGAACGTGGATAAGCCTTCGCTGAGATTACTGTACCATAAAAGAAAAATTACTCAATCATAGTGCTTCTCCCTAGAACAATAACTATTTTTTGGATTTGTAATTTTTAAGCACCCATTTGAGTTACAGTCTATTATCTCTGTAACTCTACTCTGCCTCTTAGGAATGTACACTGGCACTTGAAAATTTCAGTGAATTTAATAATTGTGAATAATTTTTGAAAACATGGCATTTTCTATGAGTTTTAATGGAAGCTTACATATGAGCCAATGGAAAGAAAATAAAATCTGCCTTTACCAAGAATTTTTTTTTTCATTGTAGCCAAATTTGTCTTTGTCCAAAGTAAGTACAAGAAATTTCACATGCAATAATGAAGACTTAATATTTGTGCACTGCTGGAGTGCTGCTGGATGATTATACTCTAACAAAAGTTAATGGCCAAGTAATGGAGATAATGAGCTGAAGTGAAAATTCGATATGAGTTTGATGAGCAGAACATTCTGAACAAAAGTATACTAGAGGAGAAAAACCTTATGGAACATTTTAATTCCTAGTACTAGAGTTTTTGAGTTTTAGTATGAAAATGGACATGATTGATAAAGAAACCTACATCAGTATGTGCTAGTGATCTTCAAAAATCAGGGACAAAACCTGGAGATACTCTGAAGAAAGAGACAAAATACCTTTAAAAGACCTCCTCTCTATCCTATCTACTCCTCATATGCAATCTCCTATCTGTGCATAGTCTATAAAGCTGATCATGGAACAAGTCTATATTCAGCCTACTAGTATAGAAACTGAAGATTTCAAACTAGGAGTAGGTAAAGAGATGAGAGTGGCAGTCAGGAATAGGTGACAAGAAGTGTAGGTTTGGGGCATCTGTAGACAAAGAATGGCAATTGTGGAAGATAAATCGATGATTAAAAAATTTTAACACGGACTTTTATAGGCTCAGCAAATAGTTTAAGCCTCCTTCACTTAGACACAGAGTGGAAAGGGAAATGGATATCATTTCCAAACTAATCATAGAAATTGATGCCAGTATTCCCAAGACTCAGAGGATGCTGGCATCACATCACGGTTACCATCATCACCGTGGTTGTCAAATCTGCAACATCATCATTATCATCAGAGGTAATACCCGCTGAATGCATCACATGCCATCCACTACCCAGTGTATTTTACATTCAGAATTTCATTGCATTTTCAGAAATCAGTGAGATTAAGCTTTTAAATTCCAATTTTATAAGCAAAGGAATAATATGTAAACTGTTACAGTCTCAGTCTCAGGATAAGCAGGGCAACTGAGTGTTGTTTTTCTAAACTGGTACAGATGGTTAAAATGTATTGCTTTGCAGATCATAAATGCTATAAACTTATGAGCAGTAATAATTTGTAGTGTGATTCATTGGAGTAGTTCATATTGATCACTCTGTGATTTAAACAACTCAATCTGTGATATAAATAACACAACTATAAACAACTCATAAGCTCTTATGTAATCCATTTTCTTATGTATTTTAGGTGTATGTTTCAGGGCCTAATGAAGTATTTCATAATATATCAGGGGCAACTTAATCAGATTTTTTTTCTAAAAGTCATATTATATTCCAGCTATTTTAACATATTAAAATTCTGGATAGTGATTTTTGTCTTTCCTTAGTAAAAATAAGTATGTAAGAGAGTATTTTGAAGGCTTCTTTCCTAAGCAAACTCAGAAGATTCTATCAAAATATAGCAGAAAATAGTAAGCCAGATCGTGATTAGGCTCTTTGCTGAAAAATCATTTAACTATCACCCTCAGTAGTTATAACATTATATTTACAGTTGATAGTACAGGTCAGTTAACTTTAAATTCAAATTCACCTTTGTGAGTATGACATGTTTTCAAATGATTAGATTACAGTTTTCTCTGCAATTAAGATTCTTTTTATCCCATTGTTCTGAATATAAATGATATACTTTGAAAGTAAATGACATAGTGCTCTGATTAAAATGTTTGTCTGCATAATAGTACTTTAATTTATTCCTCCTAATATAATACTATTATCTGTTTTCTCAAAATGGCAATTTCCATTTCCTTGGAAAGATTTCCAATCATTTCTTTGGCGTGAACCTAAAATAACTGCACATATCATTAATCAAAAACAAAGTAAATTCATATAACATTTTTGTTGCATTTGTATGTTGGATGAGTGATAAATATTTCATATGGATTATATGAATATATACTTATGCTCCAAAAAAATAAAGCCTGAGTTGCATATGGACCTTTAAAACATGCATGTCAGAAAACATTGCTATATTCATAGTTTTTGACACTTCCATTTCTGTTTAGATTTACATTTGCAGCTTCTATAAAATGGTTGGTATGCTTCCTAGGAGGAGTCACCTAAAACTTCCAGAAGAAAATAAATTGTCATTGTAACTGATATCCTGCTTTAAGGGATGTACAATAAACACATTTGAAATCTTACGTTTCATGTTTCTGCTAATATTTGTAGAATGTGCAGCTCAATTATTATGTCATATTCGTGAAATTTTGTCTGTTGCTATTTAAATCATACCCTCTTATTTTGATGTCTTATTTAGGTAGCCAAGTAGGTTGTATCTTTAATAAAATTCCCCTGTTGATTTTAAGGGTAGAAACACACTATGTATTTTGGCTTTGTTATTAAATAAAGCCAGTTTATGTATGAAAACTTATAGATCAGGGTAGGCAGAATGCTAACCAAATTTGGCTGATTTGGTTTATTTGAATAAATATTTTTTGTACTCCATTCTACTTTCTGAGCAACACTTTGACCAGTGTCAACATCTGGAAAATGAGGGATCTGGGATTAGGTCAGTATATTTCTCTCACTAGCCCAAGGGGTTAGTTTAAGAAAAAGAAGAGTAAGAAACCTAGGAAATTCACAAACTGCATTTTTCAACCTCTGGAAAATAAAAATTTTATTATGCTTTATTTTAATAGAAATCTCATTGTTACTTGTCTCAATACTTTTGCAAAAGTGATGTAACCTAAGTTTTTAAACTCACAATATGAGATTTGTAAATAGTGGATGAACATTCTTATAGTGAGCTGAAATAAATAGGATAAGGCATAGATAGTACTTACACACATAAAACAAAGTAATACATTTCAAATAGAATGGATTATGCTCATAAAACCTGTGTATATTTTGATTACATTGTAAAATTTGTTAATACATTCAGGAAAAATGATGACCCTAAGCAATGTAACTTGTTATGCAACAAAAATGATTTTCTTCTGTTATAATCAGATGTGTGCATGATTTTGCCTGTTGGATTTACGTGAGCATCAATGGAAAAAAAACACCCAAGCATTCTTTGATTAATTCAACCATATGAAACACTGATCTTGGAATTTTTGCTTAAGCCCTCCACTAAGAAACCTTTTCTTTCAAAACAAGATGTGCATTATGACCTATGCTGTTCCCATATGATCACCCTTTCCAGGCAGCCTAGATCCTTGGGTCTGAACTGAACAAAATCATTCCAGAAATTATTTCATCTGTCTAATTCAAGGTTTTTCAGACTTGATGAGAAACAAAAATGCTTTAAGGAAACTTTCCAAAATATTGCAAAGTTACTTAAGGATTGTTCAAATAGACCCTTAGTCCTGACCTAAATTATTTTTACAGATTTGTTTCTCCATATCTAAGTAAAACTCCTCATATATCTAACAAAAACCAAAACTCTTAAAACATAATAATATTATGTTGTCAAAGCTGAATCACCATTTTGTAATACCAGTATGGTAATTACTAGTATAGCATGGAACTACTGAACTTGGCATACATAGATTACAATATGATTATCTGAATCTCTCATCAGTGTTCTACATTTATACTCCTGTGATAGCCTTTGCCTTTTACTTGCCAAATACAAATGTTTACATGTTTAGTATTCCTCTGTATGTCTCTTATTTGCCCATGACAATCCAAAGTAATCCTATTCTATTTGCAGCAACATGATTGAAAACAAAAGGTAAACACCAGTAATAGGTAATACATGCGCAAACTTCGTCAAAAGGTGATTATCCATTAGATGCAGAATATGTTTTCATTATTTAACAGTATTTAAAAAAATTGTAAATAACCACTGGACCCCCAGATCTATAGCCTTCAAATGAACAGCAAAAATAATCTAATGAAAGTATCTGCTCTTTATAAACTAGTAAATTTACCAATTAGTACTAAAATACTATGGAGGCAAACAAGTCTGATCATATTGAATTAGAAATTTGAGTTCTTTTAAAATGATTACATATGGAAAATCATAGTTCGGTTTTTGAAGTACGTGTCACAATTACTCTCAAACTCTTTCCTATATACTCTGCATCTGCAACAGAACCTCAAAAAAATCTAACATTGAGAGTTTCAATTATGAAATAGATTTCTAACCTTTTGTTTTCCCTAACTGCTTTGTCTCCTTTCTTCCAGGAGATGGCTGGCTTTGGAGAGCCTTGGGGTTTGCACTCTATTTCGACTTCTCGGCCTTTAGTCACAATGATGGTTTTCTTTAGTTGATTCGGTGCAAAAGTGGGAGCTGAAGCTATTAAAGAGAAAATGATAATTTTAAAAGAAGCAATGACAATATCAGAGTTTGCAAACTCCTTTTCTGGGATACATGTCTCAAATCTTAGAATAAGACACTTTACTAGCTGTTGTTATATTGAAATGATGGCTTTTATGCAAGGTAAAAAGTCGAATGCTTAGTTATGATTACCAGCTTCAGTTGTGAGCATAATGAATGATGTGGGCAAAAGGCCAAGGGGTCCACTAAGGGAGTCCCTTTGGGGTTTCTTTGGAAAGGTGGAGGTTACCTATGCAGAAGATAATCCTGTCTCCCCCACTTCCTATTTGTGAATGTGGTTTCTTTCTCTTTTTTTATTTAAAGAATATTTATTTGAAAGAGTTACAAAGAGAGAGAGGGAGATCTTCCATCACTAGCTCACTGCCCAGATGGCTCCAACTGCCAGGGCTGGACCAGGTTGAAGCCAGGGGCTTCCTCTGGGTTTCCCACAGGGTGGCAGAGGCTCAAACACTTGGGATAGTTTCCATTCCTTTACCCACACCATTAGCAGGGAGCTGGATTGGAAATAGAGTGGCTGGGACATGAACTGGCCCCCATATGGGATGCCAGTGTTGCAGGCAGCAGCTTGACCTACTATGCTACAATGCCAGTGACCCATCTTAATTCATATTTTGCCTTTATGTTATATAAAATTAAATCTAGTTTTAATGAAAATAGATTTTAATATAAAGTTACTGAAATCTAAATTTTATAATCATTGCAGTTACATATTTGTCTGATAACTTCTTATTAATACTGCTTTTAATAAAATTTTTGACTCTGTATGATATGTCTAAATTTTCTGAGATGTTTATATCAACTGACCAATTCCTGGGTATTTCTTAAGAGTTTAATGTCCAAAATATACCAAAACAAGGCATGGCACAACAAGATTTAAAAAAGTTAGTAGATATATTTATAAAGATATGTTAAGAGATTAGGGGAGGACGGCGCTGCAGCTCACTAGGCTAATCCTCCAACTGCAGTGCCAGCACCCCGGGTTTAGTCCCAGTTGGGGCACCAGATTCTGTCCCAGTTGTTCCTGTTCCAGGCCAGCTCTCTGCTGTGGCGCGGGAAGGCAGTGGAGGATGGCCCAAGTGCTTGGGCCCTGCACCCGCATGGGAGACCAGGAGGAAGCACCTGGCTTCGGATCGGTGTAGTGTGTTGGCCGTAGTGGCCATTTGGGGGGTGAACCAACGGAAGGAAGACCTTTCTTTCTGTCTCTCAATCTCTCACTGTCTAACTCTGCCTGTCAAAAAAAAAGAAAAAAAGTGAGAGAGAGATTAGGGGAAATGAAGGAATTTATGGGGAGATTTCAGGTAACATTTTTAGTTGCCTATTGGAAATAGAATTTATCAAAGGTAATTTTGAAAATGTATAGTAAACGTGTTTCTGGATAAACCATTAGTAGTTGAGAGGCTAAGTCAAATTTTTAGTTCACAAATATTTATGTGTAATTCAATAAGAAAGTATTTATATTTGATGGCTTAGTATATGAGAAATGAACATGAAATGTTGTATGTATTTGACATGGAGTTTTTTGAAATGCAGAGAAAGTTCAAATTAAATAGATGGTTTATTATATTTAGCTGATGTGGGAATGGTGGGTTCTCATATTCTTGAGATCTCTGGTGTTGCTGTCAGTGTTATGTTTTGCAAATTGTACTGATGAGTACAAAGCACGCTTGGGCTTTTGCTACTCTAGGGAGACAGTGAGTTAAGATCATACAAATATCCATCTTTAGATTTGGGATGGTAGTTTACAAAGATTATGAAATCAGATGGCAAAAAATTAAAATCTATTCCAGAGGTACAGATTTCCATTCTGGGTAGTTTATTCTGGATCAGTTCTTTCTTGTTAGATTTAGACAGTGAAGTTGTGCTAGTGCCCAGTTTACCTTCATATGAAGGGTGTAAGCCTATGAGCCTGGCCTCAGGAAACCTTTCCTTATTATTGTAAGGATGATATTGGATTATGCCCTTTGAGAAGAGGGTGATTAGCCTCAGAGTCCTGCTGTTCAGGTAAGCAGGAGTTGCTTGGGGGAATGTTCAGCATCAGTATGGGAACTGGAACAGGCTGCTAGAATTCTACATTTTTACCCTCCCCAGATACTTTCTCTGAAACTTAATATATATGATTTTTTTTTTTTTTGACAGGCAGAGTGGATAGTGTGAGAGAGAGAGAGACAGAGAGAAAGGTCTTCCTTTTTGCTGTTGGTTCACCCTCCAGTGGCCACCACGGCTGGCGCGCTGCGGCCGGCGCATCGCACTGATCCGAAGCCAGGAGCCAGGTGTTTCTCCTGGTCTCCCGTGGGGTGCAGGGCCCAAGGATTTGGGCCATCCACCACTGCACTCCCTGACCACAGTAGAGAGCTGGCCTGGAAGAGGTTCAACCGGGACAGAATCCGGCGCCCCGACCGGGACTAGAACCCGGTGTGCCAGCACTGCAAAGCGGAGGATTAGCCTATTGAGCCGCGGCGCCGGCCATATATATGATTTTTTAAATGTCATAGAAAGGTCATCATGTCACCCTTTTAGAGTTAATGTTAGAAAAATATATACCCCCTCCCCAAACACTATAGGAGAAGCTTCATGCAATGTAAACCTGTATATCAGCAAGACATGGTATTTCTTTTCAAGTCAGGAAGTTGGTTTTTAAAATTGCACCATAAAACTTCAATATTTATAAGAATTAGAGCATGCAAAGAAGTGACCCTGCTTTCCCAGTTATTTACTTAGAAATTGCATACCTAGAATCTTCAGCTCTGCGCTGGCATAAATGGCTCCATACTTATTTTCAGCTAAACACTGATACATTCCAGCATCTGATTGGTTCACACTGTGGATCATCAGTACTCCATTAACCATCTCAACCCTACTCTGTAATGGAATAAAAAAAGTGAGATCTAGAAAGTAAACAAATGATAGTTTTTAGGTTACTCCCCTAAATAAAGGGGTAAAAAGCCTCCAATTCAGGTGCATTGACAGCACACCAGCACACGTTGACTGTTGATTATTTTATTAGGTTTACTAGAAATCATAACTATATTTTCATTCTTCTGAGTTTTACTGTTTTGTTTTAAAACAAAGTCACCTCTGTTGGTGTACTAGTTAAGCTTGTGTATTACCACCATCAGATAATGCTTTTATTTGAATTCCTTTGACAAAGGAGATGTAGAGGTTCACCTGGTGGAAAAGTGGGGATTTGTAGACATGAGGTCAAGGTTAAAATAGGCCAGGTCATAAAAACATCCCCTTTATTATGTTGATCTGATCAGAAGTTGGAATTTTTCTCTCACTTCCCAAGACACACACACACACACACACACACACACTCTAAGGAAACTGTTTACAACTGGAATCTGTATAAAATTATTAAATGAAAGTCAGTGCAAGAAGAAACTTAATATGGAAGATAGAAAATTGCAGATGTGCTGATAAAATGAGATCAAGGTCACAATTCAAAAAAATGTAAAATATGGTTAAACAAGCAGGTGTCTGGTTAATACCACCCTAGTCATTTTTTAAAAAAATTTCTGAGGAATGCTTTATTCATTAACAGAGAGGCCAAGAAATTCGACGATTTTTCCTACGCAAATTATCTGCCAGAGGAATTTCTGTTACTTGGATGCTAAGAATAGAAAACAGGAGCAGCATAGCTCATCCTCACGGTTTATCTGGCAGCTCAAGGAGAATTGGAATGAGTCTATGAACGGTTATTTCAGGTTATCCGCCTCCCACTTCACAGGTATTCTGAGTAGTCATTTCCAATTGTTTTGGGATATGGCATGTTGTCTTGACCTAACTTGTTTTAAAATAAAGGAATATGGCTGGCGCCGTGGCTCAACAGGCTAATCCTCCGCCTTGCGGCTCTGGCACACCGGGTTGTAGTCCTGGTTGGGGCGCCGGATTCTGTCCCGGTTGCCCCTCTTCCAGGCCAGCTCTCTGCTGTGGCCAGGGAGTGCAGTGGAGGATGGCCCAAGTGCTTGGGCCCTGCACCCACATGGGAGACCAGGAGAAGCACCTGGCTCCTGGCTTCGGATCAGTGCGATGCGCCGGCCACAGCAAGCTGGCCGCGGCGGCCATTGAAGGGTGAACCAATGGCAAAGGAAGACCTTTCTCTCTGTCTCTCTCTCTCACTGTCCACTCTGCCTGTCAAAAAATAAAAAGAATAAAATAAAGGAATATGGAAGCTGTATGTCACTGGCTAGGATCTGACTCAATCTCTTCCTTTTAAAAGGAACAAACTGATGTCCAAGGTACTAAAGAACAGGTAAGAGGTCCTAGGACAGTGGAGGACCTGTCCCAGCCTCTCACCTTTACATGCTTTCCCTCTATTATGCCCATAAATAATGAGCGATTTCTCCTCTGTCCTCCCTCCTATGGAGATTCTAGTTAAGGAAAACAGAAAATTATTAGTTATTTTGAAATTAAATAGTAGCTGATTTATTTTGAAATCCAGTGCAAAAGTAATTGGCTTTAAGAACATGCAGCTTTCCTGCAAAGAGATATATTCAGTCTCTGGAGGCAGGATGTCACAGAGAGAACCTATTCAGGACACAGGAGGCTAAGATTCTTTTCCAATGTGTATTACAAGATGTGCAACCCTGGGCAAGTCACTTCACTTTTAGGGATTAAACCCATCATCTGTAAAGTGATAGCAACAGTTTACATGATATTCAAAGGTCAATGGGAAATGAGTCTGTGATAGTGGTATTTCCCAAGATTGTATAGAGTTGAAAAGATCTTAAATGTATTACTAAAACCATGAAATAATTTAAAACTTCAGATACTTACAATTTCAATACTTATAATTTCAGATACTTATTTATTTCAAATATATTAAGAGGCAGAAGTAGGAAGTGGCTTTGGATAAAACTAAGAGAGCTTACTGTGTCCTTTGTGAAATCCTGCTAAAATTACACAGGAGCAGATTAATAGTGCCCTACAATACCTGAGGTAAGAGGGGTGCTCCATTTTTCAGCCAACGAAACGTGGGTCTGGGTTTTCCAGTAGCCTTACATTCCCATCGGAGAGGGCTGCCACTGTCCAACTGAGTGTCATTCAGTTTTTCCACCCAGTGAGGGTAAGCTGCGAATATTTAAGCAAACAAAAAGGATGTCATTTCTTGAACACTACCAAGTTCAAAATTTACATGGAAAAATGCATTGCATTTTTTTAACCAATTCAAATAGCCATAGGTATTTGGAAGAAGTATAACATTGCATTATAGAACTCTATTTCTAGTATAAATGAAAAATTAAGCACTGAAAGTATATTTTTATATCTTAGAGGATATTTGTAAAATATGCAAAGTATATTTTATCCATTTATTTTTACTCATGTTAAAGCCAGTGGTTTGATTCTTCCCAAGGCACTAGAATATGTTTGGTAGGAAGTTGGGTGCTTAGAAGTCCTACCTTTTCAAATATGAGGGCAGTTTCAGTGTAAGTAAAATGTAACTGGTCTTCTGATTGAGTATTGTACTGAATTCTCTACAGAAATATTTTTGGCAAAATTTATAAAATATTTTATCTGTGCTAGTGAGTACTTTGATCATTCCTTACTTCATCTCATACCTCTTGTCCCTGCCCTTTTTTTTCTATGCGTGGCTGCTGTTGCCCAAGTAGATCAGTGTTCTGTCTATGAAGTGCATATCGTATTTTCTTGAAACTTCTATTTCTCTCTTCTTAAACCATAATTCAAGTGTAAGTCTACATTACATATATTGATCACATCTCTAAAGGAGAGACGTTTGTACCTTGTTTGGACACCTGTAGTTCTTATTCACTTGGAAAGAACTCATGTAGTAATTTATTTCTCCTCTTCTGTTGCTGACTTAAATTGTTACAGAATTTTTTAGTTGGTTATAGGTTGACATCCAGATAGATGGATCACGGAAAGCAAAGTTGACTACACATATTTACTTCAGTTACACATTGTCTCATATGATAGTTGATTATAAAATATTTAGCTTTAATGAGTCTAATGTATTAATGTGTTACAACTTATGATCTGATATGATACCCATGAGTCAAACTGAAAAGATCATAGAAATTACCAAAACAAAAAGAACTGTTAAAAACACACTATTTTCTAATCTGCAGAAAAATTGGAAATCACTGTAATGTGTCAACTATAGATTGGATTATTTATAAAATTGCAAAATTTAGAGTACTGATTGCAAAATCATTTTGTCATAGGAGTACATTAAAATAAATTCTTGCTTTCCTTTAAATACAATGCTTGGTGCAAGGCTTAGACTGAGAATACATAAATAAAGATGCTATAATGTATGTTTGCTGTCAGATAAAAGTCTAGTGGGGGAGATGCAATTAAAATACTATTCAACTTCATTCTGCCAAGAAACGTACAAACAGAAATCATCTGTTAAACTGCCCTCTGAATTAAAAAACATTATCAGTTTTCCATTTCTTGACAGATAAGAGTGATATAGCTTCAGATCTTGCTGTTTTCAATTAAGAATCTCTCTACGTCATAAATCTATTTGCCAAGCTAAGCAACATGCATAGCAACCCCCCACTCCCAAGAAAATTGTGTATGTGTGTACACTCATACATATATGTGAGTATACATATATATGTATATATATAAATTCGATGAAAATAGTAAAACACTTTTGAAACAGTATAACTTGGCGTTGTCAGTTTCTACTGTAGATGCCATACTTAATTAGCATGTAGAAAGTACTACTGAATATAAAATTTGTTAGGCCAACTCAGACAAATGCAAACATGCACAGAGGCATAGACACAACAGGGATATGGATGGTAGATAATGTTACAGTGAAGTCAAGCTTCATATTGAAGAAATAAGTTTAACACCATCATTGTTAACATTAATTGACATTATGGATATTTGAATTTAGGAGTTGCCATCCTTCTTGGTGTACATGGAAAATGTAGGTTGTGTTCAATATGGCTTGACTTGTGTAATGACTTCTCTTCTATGCTGCAAAAGATATTTTTAAACCACTCAGTCTCTGCTATATGGAGTAAATTAAAAGACACTGTGGTTAAAAATAAGTAAACACTGGGTAATAGCCTGAATGAATTTATCTTGGGACCCAGTATGACAAAGACTGTATAGAATGTCAGATTCTTAGAACAAAACTAAGATTATTAGTAATATATAATAAGCAACACAGATGGTCACACCTAGAAGTATGATTGTATTAGGATCACATCTGTGAACTACATGAAATCCATTCTTACTTTTTTTTTTAAATTCTTTAAAAATACAAAAACTTGATTCAGGAGAGGATTGCAGGAAATAAAGGGCAGTAGTTTTGGTTTCCAAATAATAACTTGAGGGTAAATATACTAATTTACCTATGTGGTCAGCATTGTTCCTCTGAAATATCTGGAAAAAGAAAATTGCCAGTTGGATCACACTGAGAATAAACCTAGAAGTTCTTTATTCTAGCTTTTGTTAGGCCACCTATTTTAGGGTGTAGAAAGCTGAAGAGACATATGGCACTTTAAAATCAGAAGCTCTTAAAAATCTCACCAGATGCACTGTATATTGACAACTACTTATGTAATACATTCGAGCTTTAGATCAATTTCTGGGTTATGTGTTTTAAAACCCTACACAGATGTGCATAAAAACTCTTGCTTATTATCTTTTGTCATTAGAGATTCTGCAACTGTCTGCTGATAAATGCTAAGTGTTATTGGCCTCCTCTGTTGCTTCTTTACTCTTAAGTATCAAGGAGTCAACATATTTCATCCACATAGATCATTTTTAATATTATGACTCTCAGCTATGGGCCAGTGAGAGGTAATGTACTGCCTTGGAAAGATGATATAGTTGAGGGGTAAATGGGTTCAAGTCCCAGTACTATCATGCCCTAACTCTAATGTATGATTGGGAATGAGTTATTTAACTTTAATGACTCTCATATGTAAATGGTAGAGTATAATTCTTATTTCAATGGCCACTATTGTGATTCAATATAATAAATATTGGTTTCTCCCTTACAACTCATTGCTCATGTATGAACTTCAACTTCATTTTCAATCATATGTGAACACATATGAATATTTTTCATAACAATAAAATTCAGGCAAGACTTCTTCTAGAGAAGTTCTTTTTTTCACACTTATATATGAAATTAATCAGGAATCTATAATTTTATATTATTTCTTATAGTAAATTTTAACATATTTCAAAAGCTAAAATATCTTTAAAAATCATTCCTACTTGAGATAAACAACATTTTGCCTAAAAGTAGGCAAGGAAGAACTAAGGGCAAGGATTTTAATGCATTAATTTTCTCTTATTAACAAAGCACAGTTAAATAGGAATTTGCTATTTTCTATCCCATTCTCATCTTATGCCTTAGTTTACATCATTAATATCCCACTGAGACATTGGATTCTATGGGTTTGAATTGAATTCTAGTGTCATTTCCTTTTCTAAGGTGAATTTTAGTTTTACTGTTCATTATGAATGAGTCTTGGCCGGCGCCGCGGCTCACTAGGCTAATCCTCTGCCTTGCGGCGCCAGCACACTGGGTTCTAATCCTGGTCAGGGCGCCGGATTCTGTCCCGGTTGCCCCTCTTCCAGGCCAGCTCTCTGCTATGGCCCGGGAGTGCAGTGGAGGATGGCCCAAGTACTTGGGCCCTGCACCCCATGGGAGACCAGGAGAAGCACCTGGCTCCTGCCATCGGATCAGCGCGGTGCGCCGGCCACAGCACGCAGGCTGCGGCGGCCATTGGAGGGTGAACCAACGGCAAAAGGAAGACCTTTCTCTCTGTCTCTCTCTCTCACTGTCCGCTCTGCCTGTCAAAAAATAAAAAATAAAAAAATAAAAAATAAAAAAAGAAAGACATTATGAATGAGTTTAAGTAAAAAGTTTTATATTATCTCTAGGTCTAGTTTTCTCATCTATCACATGGGAATTTCAGTACCTAAGGTTTGTTCTGAGTTAATGAATGGACATACTACTAGTATCTAAAACATAAGCTCTTGAGAACTACTAGTTATCCCCTTCTTAAAGATTTATTTCTTTGAAAGAGTGACAGGGAGAGAAACTTAGATTTGCTGGTTCACAGTTCTCTCCTTAAATAGTTGCTACTGGCTGGGGCTGGTCCAGACCATAGCCAGGAGCCTGGAACTGCTTCCAGGTCTCCCATGTGAGTAGCTCAAGTCCAAGTATTTGGGCCATATTCACTGCTTTCCCAGGCATGTTAGCAGAGAGCAGGAACTTAAGCAGAGTAGCTGGGACTTGAATCTGCACTCAGGGATACTGGCATTGCAGATGGTCACTTAACCTACTGTGCCACAGTGCTGGCCATGGTTACCTTTAGTTTCTTCACCTTCTGGTCTTCCTTCCTTTCTCCTACATTTATTTTCTCATTAATGGAAACCTTTAATGAACAAAGTTCAACTCACATTGTAAATATAAAAATTTATGTTTTCTGTGGCTGGTTAAGATCAGGTCTTTTTGATCATCATAAATTACATGGACAGAAATAATCAAAGAAATGAATTCACCAACAAAACTATATAATAAAAAGTGTATTCAGTAATTTTGCAGTTTATTCTAAGTTTCCAATTAGTTCCAAGTTTTTGTATAACTTTTCTGATTTTTATGAGTATTTTTGGAAATTATATTGAGCAGGTATGTTTAATTTATACTTATTTAACTACCACAGATATCTATGTTTTTGTATTAACTTTATAATGCAGATGTTGCTATAAAAAAGTCTGCCATTTGTGCCTATTATACATATTAACCCTGTTTTGTAGTGCTTTGAGAAACACTTTGGCTTAGAAAGTTTGCCTTAATAATTATATTTTCAAGAAAGTGAGCTAAAGCTAAGATCCTGTGTGTTCAGTATCTTCAATATTGGCCTCTTGGATGAAAAGGGTCAGCCTCTACATACAATAGTAAAGTATATGGTAGAGATTACAACAGAAACCCATTCTACTGAGATAACACTCTGAACATGAACCCACTCATAGTAGAGCATTCAGACTATCCATACCTACTGCAAGGCAGGTGGAAATCTTGGCCAAGGTCTTGTGTAAATTTTTCAGAGGTTGATAAGGAGGAAAACATATAGTTTTAAAAATACAAATTCTGGGTGAATATGTAATAACTGAGATCCTTCTGGAAGTGGAATTAGGATACTGTTATCCCGGCACAACCATCACAAACTGGAATTATCTAGGGCAAATCAGATTGTATGGACACATGAGGAGCCCAGCAGGAAGCCATTCTAAAGATGGCTACAATGAAGGGTCACATGCTTTCAGGACACAGTTTTGACCTATCAGAAATATATGCCAAGTAGTTATCTGGATAGTTTGTCTTTCTAGATAATAGTCTAGATTATTTTTCTATTCAGACAGACAATTTCTTATCCCAGCTGGTCAACAGTGTTTATCAGTTTTGTATGACAGAGTCCAAAGATCGTTTCTTAGTGGCATATTCTTTCACCAGAAGGTCCATGGTAACACTGAATGAAAGCACATTTTCTGCATTCCTTGCTGAATCAATGCTTGTTTCTGATTTAAGTTACCCGGGTGAGGAGGGAAACAAGTGAAGTGGGCCATGAAAGAGCATCAGCCCTCAGGGTTTACTATCTCATTCTATTTGGTGTTGCCCATTCTAATGACAGAGCTATTTGGGACTTCTCCCTAATTGCTTTTAGAGTAGCTGGTACTCCTAGCGTGTGTGTGTGTGTGTGTGTGTGTGTGAGAGAGAGAGAGAGAGAGAGAGAGAGAGAAAGAGAGAGAGAGGGAGGGAGGGAGGGAATTTCAGTAAGTAAAGTTCTTGTTGAAAACTTGCCTTTTCAATACCAGGTTTTTATTTGTAAAAAAGGGACTAGTAATACTTAATACTGTTGCTGTGAGGATAAAATGCCACATTGTATTTGAAAGTTAATCATTGTTCCATTGATGGTACAGAAGCAAGATATTGCCCCTGTGGCTAGAGAGACCTAATTATTTGTTTTAATGTATTTCAACAATTATGATCTTTGTGGATTTCATCCAAATGGAACAACCGTGGCCTAACAATCACCAAATAAGTGCTGGTACTTCAATCTTAGAAACTCTTAAATGACTCTGTGTCCTTTATCCCCAGGATATTTTCCCTAATTTATCCTTAAAGTTATGCATCCTCTCTAAAACTTCCCCCATGTCATCTGAGTGGACTGTAGTACACTCAGCCCTCCAGTGATCCTTTGCATATGGCTTTGTTGTAGCACACAGCATGCTTGTCTATAATGTGGGCTTCACTTTTCATTTAATCAAGAGATGAGGCATTCCTTCAAACCTCTGTTACAAACATGCAGAGCAGTAAGAGGCACTTAATAAGCAGTAGTTAAATCAGGGAATAAATGGGTGAAATGTATAGTGCGTAGTCAACTTGACTGGAGTCCCAAATTCCTAAAGAAGTTATAAGGAAAGGTAGGTTGAATTCATACACTAATATTTCAAAATGTTCTTTAGCCAATGTTCAATTTGGATAACTGAAGATTCAAAGTATTTGCTTATATCAGTATTATAGCTTACTGCATTCATGTCTTTTTATTGTCAAATGTAAGAATAGTCATTTACCCACTATGAATGTTAAAATTCCACATGTGGTTGCAACTTGTAATACTTGAGGGAAAGGTTAGATTGTGAAAATCTTTGAACCAGACTGTCCCAGTTCTTAGACACAACTTCCTTGACACTTCTGGGCAATATAAACACTTGCAGACCAGAGAGGATTAACATAAGCCAGACGTTGGTAAAATTTTTCTACAAAGGATTCAATAGTTAGCTATTTTAGTCTTTGTGAATTGGCTGGTCTCTTTCTATCTTTAATTCTATTATAGTCAGACGAAAGCTGACCAAATAAAACTAATAGATGTGACTGTATTCCAATAAAACTACTTAGAAAAAAATGGCATCTGGATAGGCTCTGATTCAAGAGAAAAGCCAGGGTAGGTAAAGGTTGATGAGATTTTTAAATATCAAAGAATGCTGTGGGTGCCAGTACATAAATTCTATATTGTACAAGGAAATTGATAAGTCTCCATTTTAATGTAAAGCATTTCCATGTGTGGGAAAATATTACATGACACTTTACCATGTAAAACAGTACAATTATAAACTTATATGCATCTAGCCAAAAAAAACCAAAAAATATGTATTCAGTTAAATTTGCATTGTCAGTTTGACTCTTGAGGCTAGAGCATGATGCTTTGCTAGGAACACTTACTGTACACTTGTAATTGTCCACGGAAGGAATTTTTCCCACGGGCGTTTTCAGCTCTGCACTCATAAATGCCTGCGTCATCCAGCTGCACATTCGGTATTTCCAGCACTGCCTGGGACTTCCGCAGGCGCGACTTACTAGGGATGTAACCGTTAACCTTCATCCATGTGATTGTTGGAACAGGGCTACCAGAGGGAGCAAAAATAGTGTTAAAATACTTTCCACTATTAGGAACATACATTGTGTTATCTGGCAATTTAAGCACTTAATAGGCTGAGTACAATAATGTAATCACAAATTAGGAACCATGAGATGGTTGATATACTTCACTTTCCATGTGGATTGTCTGATAAGTACTTAGATTAGAAGAGTCTCCTTTGCTGTCACATTTCAGTAAAGCAATTCAGAGAAACTACTTTATACATTTAAATATTATACTTGGGGTTTTTAAAATGTCCTTATCCTTTTTAAACGACAGGAGTAATGTAGCAAAATTACTACTATATGCTTACTGTAATGAGTAAAACAAAATGGTGCTGAATTACATAAGAACTCACTCTGCCTCCACCCCTGCAAATCTTACTTTGCCTCTTGGATGCACATACTGAAACATAAAAAGAAACCTTTTAAAAAGTGATTCATTCTATTGATTTGAAATGCAGAATGGCAGAGCACAACATTAATTTCCCCCCTCTGGTTCATTCCACAAGCGCCTGCAATTGATGAGTCTCTGCCAGTCTGAAGCCAGGAGCCAGGACCTCCATCCTGGCCTCACATATGAATGGCAGGAACCCAGCTGCCTTCCATCATGTGTATTAACAGGAAGGTGGACAGAAAGCAGAGGTGCTGGGACTGGAATCAGGCACTCCAGTAAGGGATGCAGACATCCCAAAATTCAGCTCACTCAGCTGTGCAATGATACCTGCCCCTGTTGTTTCTTTTAGTATAAATCCTCTGTACTTAGTATTTTATTAAGATCATATCCAATAAGTGTTGGTCTGACATATTCTGATGAAGTGCTACATATCATTCCATTGTACAGCTGTACCAGAATTTAACCAACTGTCCCAATGGTTGAACATTCAATTAGTCCCAGTTTTACTTTTTCTGTATTTATTTTCCTACTAAAACACAATGTTGCTATAAACAACCCTGCACACGTCATGTACTATTGCTTTTCTACAGCAGACAATCACAAAAGTAAGACTGATGGATCAAAAGCCATTCTCATTTTTCATTTTAATAACTACTGCCAGATTGCTTTTCAATAATAGAGTAGCAGTTCTTATACCTATGAGTAATATAATACTGTTTCCTCATTTTCTTGCAGCATTGTATGTAATCAATCTGTTTACCATTTTAACCTATTAATACTATCAAAAGTTATTTCATTGCTTATTACATTAATATTTCCTTGAATTCTAAGAAGGTTGAACATTTTTTATAACTTTATTGTCCATTTGCATATGCATTTCTGTGAGCTGTTTGTTATTTTTCTTTCATATTATTTATTAGCCTGTTTGCATTAATTTCTTGGAGTTCTTTGTGTATTAATTAAAGCCATTAAACTGGTTCTCATAAAGATTCTTCCCAAGTGTATTGTTAGTTTATGATGGCATCTGTGCTAGAATTTTGTAAATATTGAGAGAAATAAGTATGTTTATAGTTTCCTTCATGACTTCTAAGATATTTTTCTGGCTTAGAAAATTATCTCTAAACCCAGGTTTAATATTTTCTACAGTATTTTTAGTAATATTTTTATTACTTTGGGTCTGTAATCCATTTGGATCATCTTTGTTTTTGGTATGAAATAGCACATGAAATGAATTCAACACCGCAAAAATCACTAGAACTTTTCCCCACAAAGTATGAAATATTGCTTTGGTCATATAATTGTTTTTCCCATACTTGTATCTATTTTTAGTCTCTGAATTCTGCCCTGCTGGTTTACTTATTACTATCTATATTTAATAAACATTATACTGTGGAACCCCTCATCTACTTTTTCAGTATAATTTTTTCACTAGTTCCTTCTGTATCTCCTGACCCAGAAACACATTTCTCTGTGTTTCCAATCATATCTGTTCAAATGTTACTAATCCTCGGAGACTCGTCCTAAATGCCTCCTTTTCAGACAAGTCCTTCCTTGTGTAGCCAGCTGAGAGTTTGTCTTTGAAGTAATAAAGTACTTCTGTGTACCCACTTACATCTCTTGTAACATTCTACCCTGGATTATAATAGAGTATAGGGTATTTTCCCATGCTCTTTACTAGTAGGAATTTGTGAACAATGTTATAATAAACACAGTTGTGGATCTTTGGCCACCTTTCTGATAAGTTTCTCAGGAATAAAACAAAATTGAAATTGTATTACAGACCTTCAGTGAATTCTGAAACAACCTTTACATCAGTATAATGTACCATCCTTTTAACCAATACTGGAACTGATCTGTTGTTGTTTTTTGTTTTGTTTTGTTTTTCCTATTTAGGTTGTTTATGTATATTCTCATAGGTGAGATGGTAGCTTCTTAGGGTTGCTTGTGTATATTATTGAATTTGTAGTTGGTATGATGGATGACTGCTTAAAATTTATTGGCTTATTTTAAAGTCAGAGTTACGGACAGAGGGAGAAAGATAGAGATCCTCCATTCGCTAGTTCACTCCCCAGGTGCCCACAATGGCCAGGGCAGGGCCAGTTCAAAGTCAAGACCCAAGGACTCACCCAGGTCTTCCATGTGGGTGGTAGGGGACAAAACACTGGGCCATTAGGAAGCTGGATTGGAAGTAGAGCAGCCAGGACACAAACCGGCTCCCTTGTGGGATGCCAGCATTGCAGGTGGCAGCTTACACACTGTTCCACAAAGCTGCCCTCCCCCATTGTTTATATTCTTTATGAACTAAAATAGAGAAGTTATTGTTTTCCTTGGAATATTGATAGTATCATTTACAAAAAGTTGTATTGCATTGTGTTTGAACTTCTGCTTTTGTCAACTTTGGTAATTCATGTTTCACTGGAAAATGGACATTCTTCCATAATTTCAATTTTTAGAACTGAATTATAGAAAGAGTAATTATTTGAAGTTTTTTAAAATTTATTTATGAGTAAAAGTGGGAGCTATGTGCACTAGAGTAATTAAGTGTGAATTCGAAAACCAGACTCTATGAGTACAAAGATAGCTTTGAAACCATGGTTAATTAAATCTTATTTCTTTTTTTATTTTTTTTTTTTTCTTGACAGGCCGAGTTAGACAGTGAGAGAGAGAGACAGAGAGAAAGGTCTTCCTTCCGTTGATGGCCGCTGCGGCCAGCACGCTGCTGCAATTCGAAGCCAGGAGCCAGGTGCTTCCTCCTGGTCTCCCATGTGGGTGTGGGGCCCAAGCACTTGGGCCATCCTTCACTGCCTTTCAGGGCCACAGCAGAGAACTGGACTGGAAGAGGAGCAACTGGAACAGAATCCGGCGCCCCAACCGGGACTAGAACCCAGATTTCCAGCGCCACAGGTGGAGGATTAGCCTAGTGAGCCGTGGTGCAGGCCAGATCTTATTTCTTGAGTTCCTAAAACTAGGAATGTATTTTATATATTAGAATTACTGTGACTGTTACTGAAAGTGCCTGGGGCAAGTGTTTGGTGCAGGGGTTAAAATACTACTGGGGATACCTGGATCCTGTCCCTGATTGGCTTCTCATGCCAGCTTCTTGCTAATACGTATCCTAGAAAGTAAAAGTTGATGGCTCACATCCCAGCCATCCATGTGGGAGACTTGGGATAGAATTCTTGGATCCAGCCTGGCATTTAGAGTGTGAATCAGCATACAGAAGTTCTCTATTTGTGTCTGCCTTTCAAATTAAATAAATAAAACCTGGCATAAGTAAGAAGTCTGAAAATATTTGCAATTGTGATGATCTCTGTATCTTAATCATATGTTTTATATTTCTGCTACAGAGGTGGCATCATGTACTGTTTACAGGTACAGACCTTTGGATGAACCTTGGGTTCAGGTATATTTTGTATATTGGATCCTATGTGATCAGTGGAAATTTGCCTAAGATCTCTGAACTTGGACTCCCTATCTGTAAGGTGGGGCTTTTGCTTTATTCTTCTATAATGCAAATATCTCTAGGGCAGTACAGTCATTTCTTTTCTTTTGTAGTACTTCCATAGTGCTTCTAGAATGTTGTGTTTATTGTCAGTACTTAATGAAACTTTATGAAATGAAGGAATGACTTTTATAATATTGACTAAGATAAATTATTGAAAATTACATAGAAATCTCCATGGCCACTAGCAAGTTCCCCATAAATGTTAGCTGTACTGATTTTAAAACTAGTAGCTTAGTCAAAGACTTGTCTATTTTACTGGTCTTTTGAGTTTTTACTAATTTCTTGTTCTAACTGATGGGTTTCTGGATCTTTAAAAAAAATTTGCTTCTTCTCAGGATCAGCACAGTGATATTCTAAATAAACCTATTGAATTCAATTATCAATATAATTACAGTTGTTAGCAATGAAAGTGTGTTAGGACTGTTCTTCCTCTGATAGTAGATGTGTTCACCTGATTGTAAAAAGAGTTACATACAGTTTCTGCATTTTGTTTTTTGCTGACTCAATCTTTCAGCTAGAGGATTAAGTCACACTTTTATTTTAAAAAGATGTACTTACTTATTTATTAGGTTTAAAGATTGACTTTGGGTTAGTTGGTGTTAATTGGGTCATTCAAATATTTAACATTTTATCAAATATCCTATGAAATATTTATACACAAAAATAAAACATATTAATAATTATGTTTAACAGGAATGAAGCTCTTGAGCTTGTGGGCTTACCCCTCTACTCTACAGTTAATGCTCGGTCCTTGAGAAATGCTATCTCATTTCTGTTTCATGCTGTGTCACACTGAGATGTGTGCTGATTTTCCCTCATTCCTGTTATTACCAGTATCATCTTGTATTTCAAAAAGTTTTATTTTGATTAATTTTCTCCCTGGAAATAACTGTTAATGAAAGTTAATATTATTTTTAGTTTTAATTATCTTTAGTGAGATGAGATGACCCTGTTTCTAAATTAATGATATTTTTACTTTCTCTTTTTTTCATATACCCAATTAACCTCATGCTCCTTGCCTATTTATTTTTACTTTTTTTGATGGAATGTCACTTTGTTTTGATTTGATGCCACTAAGTGATATA